ACACACACACAAATTTTACATACAATTTCTGGGATCTGCAGAGTCCATGAGGCCTATTCAAAGAGCCTTAGGGGGTCCTGGTTAACAACCCCATGGTTTAAAGATTAATGGCACAGACTTCAAATTCTGGTTACTCCAAAACAGGCTGTGTGATTTTGGACAGGTTACATAACCTGTCTGTGCCTTATCTCCTTATATGTAAAACAAAGGTAATAGCAGTAGCTGCCTTTCAGAGTTGTGAATAAGAAATGAAATACGGAGTTAAAACTCTTAGCCTGGAGCCAGGCACAAGGGAAGGGCTTATGATATTTATTGTAATGGCTATTGTTACTACAGTGGCCCAGGACAGAAAGTAAAAACCAAGGGGGCAGCTATTAGCGTCTACCTCCAGGTAGTGGGAAGCTCCCCGAATTCATGTGGAATGTCAGAGGAGCAGGTTCCCAAGGGACAAAACGATCTAGACTGGGAGGGGGTCAGAAAGTTCATTAGTTTAAAGGGGTGTCACATCCTTTTCTCTAAGGGAAGCTCTGGCCTGAGAGCCAATGCTGGTGTTTACCTGAATACCCTGGAAATGAATGGGGCTACCAAAACAGCCCAGATTGAATCTGATGGAACCTATGGGGGTTGACATGAATTAGTCTCCTGTGCTAAGGAGTAACTAAGGAGCTTTACTTGGCTGTACAGGGTCCCCTTATCTTAGCAATTCAGGCAATGCTTTCCCTCCTCTTTGTCTGGAATATTTCCTCAACTGGGGGAAAAGGGGATTTTTGGTAGACTAATTCCTTTCCCTTCCACTGGAGATGGAATGAGGCTGGGCTAGGGCTAGATAGGCAGCAGGCAGAACTTCTGGGGTCAGGATCTAGTACGGACGTGGTTCTGAAGTCAGGCTTTCCCCCTGCAGAGCAGACTCCAGGGACCAGCTACTTCCAGCTCCTGGCGAGATGACACTGGCCCAGCTGACTAAGGTGGGGGCTCCAGAGAGTGTGTTCTTTGCCCCTGCATCGGGTCCCAGGGGCGGAATATGTTGAAATGGTTAGAGCCCCAAAGGTGATTAGCAGGGTTCCCTCCCCAGCATTCCCCACCCCACTGTCTCTGAGTCACTCCCCATTCAGCTGCTTGAAATCTCCAAAACTCCTCCTCTGAGAGGGGACAGCCCAGACCCAAGCCATCGCCCTCCACATCACACAATGTTTATATCCCATTTGCTTAATGGAGACTAGTTCAACTAACACGCAGCAGGCATCCAGGGCCCCAGGCCTGCGCAGGTCTGGGCAAACGGAATTCCCAGATTGAGGCCCCTGCCCTCAATGATCTCTCAGTATTAGGGGGTAGGGTCAAACCCACAAATTCAAACTACAGCCCATTGCTTGCACACGAAGGGTGCAGGAGACCAGAGAATTTGGGCTCCCAGGAGTCCAGAAGATACCAGCCCCCTACACACCGCGGGGGTCGGCTGGACGAAAACCGCCGGGTTGGGAAAAGGTAGGTGGGGGAGTTGGGCTGGTTTCAAAGATGACCTAGGAGGAGATGAAGGTGCCTTCTGGACCCAAAATAACAAAACTGGCAGATGTCTCCACGTACTCTGGCCCCCAGCTGTGCTGTCTGCCCAGCGGATTTGGCCCAGAGAAGCGGACCAATTGGCCGAAACAGCAAAGCATGGGTGGCGGCTGGCGGAAGCAGGCGGCAAGTACAGGGCAGGCAGAAACAGGAGGTTTGGCAACGGCGGTGAAAGAGGCAAATATAGCAGAATCTGTCCGCTGTTCCACAGCCCGTCTGGGCTTGCCTCTCTTTCAGGGCAGGTATGGGAATGTCCTGTCCGCTTTGACACTTGTCGCCAAAGACTAAAGTTCTGGGGGAGCAGGGCTCCAGCGAGGAATTCTATGCTCCTGACTCTGCTCTCAAGAGCCTCATTCCTCTTCTTCCTGGCAGCCTTGCTGTGACGCTGACATGGGGGGCTTTGAGGCCTCGGGGTTTGAGCAACAGCAGGGGCTTGGCTTTTTCTTAAGGACTGGTCCTGCAGGGCAGTACGGGGTTCAGAGACCAAAGCAGACAAGAAGTGTATGGGGGTGTTGGAAGGGCCTCTCTCTCTCTCTGAGGATAGGGACCCAAGAATACTGGTTCCCGGATCTGGAGGGACCTCAGCTGTTAGCTAGGGGGTTGTAGCTTGCTTGAGGTGCAGGGTGGGGGGAGGGCTGGGGTTATGGCAGGGAAGGGCAGCCAGCCACGAGCTGAAGGGGGGGGGGATCTTGAGGGCAGGAAATGAGGGGAGAGGGGCTAGAGTTTCCAAGCAGCGGGGTGTAGCTCCATGGCGCCTCCTCCCTCTGGTCCATTTCCACCGGCCTTGGACTCTGACTTCTCGGTTGCTAGGCTGAGCATCATCCGTGGCTCCCAGGGCAGCAAGAACGTATCAGAGATAGGGCTGCCCCGGGGTGGGGTCTGCAGCTCTGAGGAAGCTGAGATCCCCACCCTCACCATTTCTGCCCCCTGAGCACCTGCTCCCCTCCCCCAGCGAGTGCAGGTCAAAGATAGGGAGGGGCTACGGAGCTCTCCCAACACCCTCAAGTAGGCTTGGGGCAGGCGCTAGGCTCCCAAACAGGAATTCTTTTTCCTCACATCGTCCCTTTGACTCCAGTGAGCCACGAGCCATGGAGATAAAGAAAGAAGCCGACCTCTGATGCGCAGAGGCAGAAGAAGGGGACCTGTCCACTGTCCTGCAGCCGAGCTCAGCTCGCCTCTCCCGGGGCAGAAGTAGCGGGCAGGAAACCCTAGAGGGCCTATTCTTTCCTTCCCAACCTAGAGGCTGGGCCCACAACCCTCCTCGCTGGCTCCTTTGGATCCTTCTCCGGTCCAAGCGGGACTGCCTGAGTGCTCTCCCTTCCCATGAGTTTACAAACAAAGCCAGGGAAAGGGCCAGGCTGCCTGGGCTGGGGGCCGGAGCTGTGCGTTTGTGCTGGGGGGAGGGAGGGGAGTGGCTCTTCCTCTCTTGGTTCCAGTCTCCTCCCCTCCCCTCTGTTCTCCAAGGGCAGAAATGGAAAATCCGGGGGCAGGGCCAGCGCCTCGAAAACCAGACCCGGAAGCAAGAGAGAAGAGGACCTAGGGGCAGTTCCCCGCTGGAGTGCCTCAGGGAAATGAAAGACACTGGTAGGGGTTCAAACAAGCCTAAATACCCATAGGTTCACGTACGTTTACACAAAGATACACATGGAGAACCACACACAAACACATATTAAAAAAATAAAAACCCTTCATAAACACCTTCAAATACCGATGCACACAAAATGCACGCCTGATACACACAGAGTCCTGGCCGTGGGGTCCTCAGTCCCCCAACCTGACTCCAGCGGGCCTCCCTGCGGGTTCCTGAGAGCGAAGCCCCAGCGGTGGCCCGGCCCCTCCAGGCCCCCCGCCCCGCATCCGGAACAGCTGGAGTCGGCCGGCCAGGCGCTTCACTCCAGTCCGGCGTTGGGCTGGGCGGGGCCGGCAGCGGGGCCCCCGCCCGGGGCCTGGCAGAGCGCAGCGGGGAGGCCTCGAGTCGCCCTGGGAGCCCCAGTAACCGGCCCGGCTGCCCTTCGGACACCTGTCACAGGGCGAGCGGTGACCCCAGCCGGCCAGAGAGCTGCGGCCGGAGGAAAGAGTGTGCACGCTTGCCGGAAGAGGTAGGGCCGCCGCTTCGGGCTCAGGCCAGGGGGAAAGGGGCCCAGAGCCACCAGCAACTTCCCCCTCGGCTTCTCGGCTAGAGGAAGGCTGAGCCCTCGGACTGGCCTCCTCTCCCAGTCCTGGAGTCCACCCCCCCACTCTGTCCCTTGTCGCACCACCCAAGGCTGAGGAGCCAGCTCGGACTTCCAGCGGGTCAGCGGGGTGGGGGAAGGGTGCAGAGTCCCTCTCCCAGGCGTGCGGCCCAAGGCCGGGGAAGAGGGGCCAGAGGGTAGGAGGACAAGGGCGATGGGGCCTTGATCTCAGCTCCGCAAAGCAGCGCGCTGCGCGGCGGCGGGGCCCACCGCAGCTCCTGGTCTTACCTGGCCCACGCGGCGACCCCGTCATTCCCGAGCTGGGGCTCCAGCCTCTCTTCTGGGGTTCCAGATCCCGGGTTGGAAAGCCCGAGAGCTCCAGGGCCGGCGCTGCCATCGCTGTCAGGGCTGCGGGAGGCGGGTGCGCCGGGAGCGCTGCTCGCAGTTTAGGGTGGGGGCGGCAGCTTTGCGGTCGCGGGAGGTTCGGGTGCGAGAAAGGCGCGGCTAATGTAATTTACTAACAGCGCAGCGCGACACCGGGACTGACAGGCGCATTAGGCGGGCTAATTCCAACCGGCTCCTCCTACCCCCGGCCCGCTAATTAATGAGCTTCCTAACTTAGAGCCGCCTGCATTGGACAGAGAGTGAAAGAGAGGGCGAGGGAGAGGGAGAGAAGGAGAGAGACGGGGGGAGCAGAGAGAAAAGAGGGAGGGAGGGAGGGAGAGAACAGGAGAAGGATAGAGAAAGAAGAGAGGAGAAAGACGGGGAGAAAGGAGAGAGAAAGCGAGCGAGAGAAGTGCCTGCCGCTGCAGATAACTGATTACTCCTCGATCAAGGCTAACTTGTTAGCAATAGTCAATTGCCCCGTTTCTCCGCCTCCCCTCGCAGTCCGGGATCGGCGCCCTTGCCTCGGCTCTTCCAAGTGCCATCGCCAGGACCCGGGGCCAGGAGCCGCCGCGGAGCCACCTGACACCTTTAAATAGCACCGGGATTGGTGAAACTGGAGCCCCGCGCTGCGCGACCCGGCTCCGGCCTCGGATTCCTGGAAGCCCTCGCGGCGGCGGCGGCGCCCGCGTCAGCGCCCTCCTCCCGGGCCCCGGAGCGGCTCTGCCCGCC